TTAGTGAGTTTGATAGTTTTTCTATGTGGTGACCTTTAGCTCGATTTTGTGACCAGATGATCTACAGAGAGAGTTGTATATGAGAAGCTTCAAATTGATTACTAGATCTTTAAATAATTTTTTAAATATATTAAATATTTAAAAAAATTTTAACTACTAATAATTTTAAGTTAATATATATTAATATAGAATTTTAAAAATATTTTTTAAAATTTTAAATATTTTAAAAACAGTAATAAAAATTTTTTTTTGAATATTTTAATTTTTTTTTATTTTTAAGGTGGCTTATATTACTAGGCAATTTTTATTAGTTTAATATATGAGATTACATATAGGCGATCCCTATAGTTTGTAATTATATGAAGAATATATAATAAGCCACTCATACAACTTTAGTCATTGTCTAATTTAAGTAGTTCACTGCACAAACAATAGACTACCTAATTAGTTTTATATTATGCTGCCATATCTATAACCTGTCTGTGAATTACCTATTTAAATACTCTGTTCAACTAATCTATACTATTACAAACTAATATCATTATAATATCTAACTATTTAAGCTAGCTAGCTTGTTACAGATCTATTTTTCGACTCTAGTTTAGATCCTCTCAGGATACTTATTACTCAGCATATTGTGAGCCTACAAAGCTTCAGTTAATCTCAAAGCAAACCTACTAGAGCAGTCTATACTTATTTCACAAATTCATCTAGCTTAGACCCTTGTAGATATTATACAACTCCAGTTCCTACTATGGCTCTCTACTGGTTTTCTGTTTGTTGATTTCTTCAAATATTTCACAAAGTAGATTCTCCCAATTTAGTTAACTACTAAACCAAGTTGGTATTGCCAATTCTCCTTGTAGAATAGACTTACTTGCACCTCTCTCGATCTATATTTTCAAAATACAGTTTTTTTTCTAGATCAAATGTTAGCTAGTATGACTGTTAAAAGTTATATTACTTCACCTACTCAGGATTTCTACCATGCAGGTCCTCTGCTCATAGATCCTATCAAGATTTATTTATATAATATTTTATCTCTTCAAATATCTCATCATACTTCCAATATCCAAATAATATTAATGCAACGTGATTTACAGGTTTACAATTTCAAAAACGAACAGAGTTTACTATAAATTAGATACAAAAGTTCAGGTAATTATTTAAATTTATCGACAGTAGGATTTGAACTCAGATCTCTTGCATAGCGGTCTGGTAATCTAACTACTACACTAAAATTACCAGACCTAATATTTTAATATTATAAAAATAAGATCATAAATATTATTATATAAATTTTTTAAACAAATTTGTCTAAAAATAGCTTTCAAATTAAGAAATAGTAAATAATTATTTAATTCTATTATAATTTTCTATATTAAACAATATCTATTATATTGAAAGCTACTATATATAAGTTTATTATCAAAATAACAAATTGTTACATATTCTTTTTGTAGAAACATATACTATAAAATAATAATATAGTCTTAAAATTAAAATAATTTTAATTTTTTGTATTTGTTTTAATACTAAAATAGCATTTCTCTTAATAAAATAAAAGGCAAAATCGCCTAAGTTTAAAAAAAAAAATATATAAAATAATAATATATATATATTTAAATATCTTTTACTTTTAGTTAATAGTTTACATTTTTATAATTAATAATTATTTAAATAATATAGTCAAAAACAAATAATATTATATTAATACTTGGATTTTTGAATTTTATTATAGCTAAAAAAGTTATTGTTTTTATAGTAAGATCTTTAATATAACATACATAAAACAATTATTTTCACAAGAATATAGTTTTGATTTCATTAGATATAGATTCTTTTGGTGTAAAATATGTTTTCTTAATAAAATTAATCTTTCGATGTCTAGGCCTTGTAGTCGGTTTTCCTGAATGAAGTATCTTCGTAATATTATTATTATTATGTGACAGATGTTTAGCTTTATTAATTGCATTTTCCTATTATCAAAATTTTATAAACAATTCATATCATTAAAAATATTAAAATAGTCAAAGTAGAGCTTTTTTACCTTAAAAAAATATAAAACTTCAAGTGAATTTCTTAACACATTAATGTCATTTAATTGTGCAGGAAACCTATACGCTGGTCCTTCTAAACTGAAATACAAGCCATCATCAAGTAAATCAATTCCGAAAATTTGTCCTTCAAGTCCTAAATCAATAATAGGTTACAACCATTATTATTGACAATCATTTTTTAAATATTATTTAGTTACCAGCTGATTGTAATCCATAAAAGGTAGAATTTTCAATAGCCTCTTCAGGAAGGTTATGCATGAGATAAGTATCCAATATACATTTATTAGTTCTTATGCATTTACTACGATCTTTGATTACTTTTACTGGTGTTGCTTTACGCGCAAATTCAGAATGTGACAAATCTATATTATTGTCAATAGACAATACTCTTAAATCTATCTTTCGGTTCACGGTAGGCCTAGGAATTGTCTCACCCCTATAACATTCAAAAATAATTAGACACAATTAGAAACTATACTATCACTAATAAATATTACTTACCATCTAAGATAGAGTATATCATAGTTATTTGAAAAAATTATATCCAATATAGGACCCGATACTTTCATAATATATTCAATTTCTGTTAAATTTTTTTTTTCACCTTCCTTATTAATAAAAGAATATGGATTTTCTAACAGCATATCGATTCTAACAATAAAATATTCTGAGATTAATTCTAAGTGTGTATATATATATATAAAAGGGTGTATAATAACGTACAAATAATAATATATTTTTAAAACTTGACGGTGTTTATCATTATCAGGCCTTTCCTTTAATTTGTCCAATAGATAGGAACGTGCATCCCAATAGCGGTACGAAGCACATAACTAATATTAGAAGTAAATGTAATTAAATACGCTATGTAATATAATAACAATATACGCACCTCTTCTATCTTAATGGTATCAGATAAAATGTTTCCTTCGAATTTTTTTACTTCGAAACATATTTTCTCTGAAGCCTTCGCTTTCAAGCCTTCCCACTCATCTCCAAACCACGTGTGCATTCCTCCGTCAAACTCTGATGACAAATCAATAATAGATGAAAGGCCAAGCAGAAAAAGAACTCAAAGAAGTTTTCAAAAAGAGAAGAGAAAAAGTAAAAATTAATATACACGAACAAAATCTCACTAAAAAGAAAGAATCTACAACACATCAAGCTAACAGAAATCTAAGCCCAACAGAGGATATCAACAAAATTACAGTTTGGAATTTGCCAATTTGGGCAAGAAGAACACAGGTGTTCGAAACAGTTCACTTTTTAGGAAGAGTGGAATATATCGAAATGATTAAAAGTGCTTCAGACAAAACAAGAGCAGAAGTAGAGTTTAAAATAGGAACTGTTGATAAAAAGAAAATAAACGAGATCTGGTGTCTGCTATTTGTGAACGAAATACTGGTAAGAATCTCAATAGGTACTAACAACTTCTCTTCACTCTATACAAGAAATAGATTCAGCAAAAGGTTACTAGACTTGTCAGAAAACACAAATGAAGTACTTCTGTGGAGACAAATAAAAAAATCAGGAGCTAAAGTACTACATATTTTCAAGAACTCTAATAACAACAACATGAGAAGTGCAACAGTTTATTTTGAAAAGAAAGAAGACATGTTAAATTGCTCTAAATTCGCACTGTCTTACTATGACAACAAGTTAAGATGGGCAAATTCAACAAGATACGAAGTAAATCCAAAAGCTAAGAAAGCTACAGATAGTGAAAAGCTAGAAGCTTTCAGAAGAAATAGTACAAGAAGCCTCAGAACTAGAAGAAGTAAGGAACAAAACTAGGAAGCTTCTAGAAGACTTACTCCAAGTGAAGAAGAAACAACAAGCAATATGGAGCGAGCAGGGAAACCCATACAGACAAGTGTCTACTCTGAGAAAAAGAGAAGAGAAATACGAGAAGGCAAAAAAAGAGAAGTCAATCATGAAGCATCTAGCAGTACACTGATGACTCAAAAACAGACTCCAGGCCCAGAAAATACTTATGACTATATGCTACAATTCATAAGAAGCCTCGAAGAAAAAATTCAACATATGGAGTGGGAGGTGCCAAATCACTCCTAACAGACGCACTAGTTGAATTAATGGAAATAGGCAGTGGAGCCGACTGTCTTAACACAGAGAACCCCTCCAAAAGGAGGGAAGAAGGAGTTGTGGAGAAGACTTTCAAATATTAAAAGTAGCATCACATAATATTAATGGGATAAAAGAAAACTTCACGAAATTAGAATTATTATTAGAATAGGCAAGCAAAGAGAATATTGATATGATTAGAATCAATGAAACAAACACAAAGGTAGACAAAACAATTTTAACCTAAGAGAGCAAGATAATTTTACAGGCATATGGTCTGATGCAGAAGAAAACAAGAAGAAAGGCTCAGGTGTCGGTCTTTTAATCTGTAAAAAATGGGAAAGATACTTAAATCAAGTTAAAGAAGGAATGCGTATCACTTAGAAGCACTTTTTGTATTCAAAAGACATAAAGTGCTAGTCATAGTAATATACATACCACCCAACAACTCTAAAATCAGAAAAGATATCCAGCAACAGGTCATTAAAAGAACATTTGAATATCAAAGTAACATACAAGTCAGACTCTTTCCGTAGATCATTCGGACCAAATTTGAAGCTAAAGAAAAACTATAGAAAACTCCGAAACTAGATTAGGAAACTAGTAAAACTCCACTAAGAAAAAAGATTCTAG